GTGGGATCCGCCACATTGGTAAACGCAGATGGGGACCGATTGTTTATGCGGATGTTTAACCCCCACAATACCCCAGCGATACTGCGACGGCGCACCCCAATAGCCACCGTACACCCCCTGCACGCACGCCACTCTAACGACTCGGTGTTCGCACTCTGGGCTGAGGACCCCGGGCGTCCTGAGGGTGACCAGGACCTGGCCTGGCGAGTCGGCCCGACTCCCCGAGCCGAGGTCGTTCCCCTGCTCGACGCGTTACATGTTCCATGGGCGGATTTACCTAAGGGAGAGGCCGATCGGTTGCGCGAGTTACTGCGGGAGTATGCCGACGTGTTCAGCGAACACGACTCGGACGTGGGTCGGACCGACCTTGTTAAGCATCAAATTGACACCGGTGCAGCCCGACCCATCAAACTCCCTGCGTACCGAGTGGGCGCACCCGAACGCGTCCAAATCAAAGAGGCAGTTGGGGACATGCTTCGCGATAACATAATTCAGCCCTCGGCGAGCCCCTGGTCAGCCCCGGTGGTACTAGTAACGAAAAAGGATGGGTCAACCCGATTCTGCGTCGATTACCGTAAACTAAACGCAGTCACGCTCGGCGATGCCTTCCCCATACCTCGCATCGACGACACCTTCGACAGTCTCGCAGGAGCGCGGTATTTTTCCACCCTCGATCTGGCGTCCGGTTACTGGCAGGTGGAGATGACGGAGGAGGATCGGCCAAAAACAGCATTCACCACCCCGATGGGCCTGTTTGAGTTTCGAGTGTTGCCGTTCGGACTCACTAACGCGCCCGCGACGTTCCAGCGGTTGATGGAGTTGGTGATGCGGGGCTTGCAGTGGGAACAGTGCCTGATTTACTTGGACGATGTGATAGTGTTCAGTAGATCTTTGTCTGAGCATTGGTCCAGGCTTCGAGAGGTGTTCCAGCGGCTGCGAGCGGCTCATCTCAAGCTCAAGCCACGTAAGTGTTACATCGCACAACGCGAGGTGGGGTACCTCGGGCATCGCGTCAGCGAGGCAGGCGTGCGCACCGATCCGGAGAAGGTACGCGCCGTAGTGGAGTGGCCACGGCCAAGGAATCTGACGGAGATCAGATCATTTTTGGGGCTCGCCACCTATTATCGTCGATTTGTAAAGGGATTCAGCGAGATTGCACGCCCCCTCACCCAACTCACCTCCCCTAAGCACCCCTACCAGTGGACGGGGGCCTGCCAGACGGCCTTCACCACTCTCAAAGACCACCTCACCCACGCCCCCACCCTCGCTTTCCCCGATTTTACCACCGATTTTATTTTGGACACCGACGCCTGCAGCAGCGGGCTGGGCGCGGTGTTGTCACAGGTACAGGATGGGACGGAACGAGTCATCGCGTACGCCAGCCGGACCTTGAGTGGGGCCGAGCTGAACTATTGCGTGACCCGCCAAGAGTTGTACGCCGTGATTTTCGCATGCAAACAGTTCCGGCCGTATTTGTACGGCAGGAGATGTCGCGTACGCACTGACCATTATGCTCTGCAGTTTCTTCTTACATTCAAGGAGCCGCGGGGGCAGATGGCCCGGTGGTTGGCGCAGTTGCAGGAGTACAACCTGCAAATCGAGTATCGGGCTGGCCGGACGCATGCAAACGCGGACGCCTTATCGAGGCGACCCACGGTGTACGCCGAGACGAGGGCGGAGGAGGCCTGCCCGTGTTTCACGGCGGGACGCTGCCGGCAGGCAACGGACCCCCGAGAGGCCGCGGCCACTGACCCCCCCCCAGCGAGGGAGAGTGCAGTGTGCGCCACAGAAACCCTCACAGGTGGCACTGAGGATCCCGTCGACCGCCCGGCAAGCGCGGGACCCGCGGCTCGGGACCCGATCGGACGGATCCAGGAGGACGTCGGCTGCGCCTTCCCGGGCCTAAACGACGAGCAGCTGAGACAGACCCAGCAGCGAGATCCGGATCTGGCGGCAGTGGAGGCGGCACTGCGGGAGGAAAAGAGCGCCCTACCAGGACCCTGGAGCGGTTTGTATGCCCGGTTGTGTGTGCGGAACGGAGTGGTACGGGAGTTAACCGAGGCCGGCCAGCCGGGGGGCATCTGTGTTCCTGCCCAGGTGCGACCCCAGCTGCTACGGCTGGTGCATGACCACCCACTCGGGGGCCATGATGGGGAACGGCGCACCCGGGAGACCCTGCGTCGCCAGTATCTCTGGCCCAAATTGGCACAAGATGTGGCCGCCTGGGTGCAGGGCTGCCGGGCCTGTCAGCAGTGTGGGCAAAAGCCGGCGAGGTACCAGGTACCCCTGAGGCCGTTCCGAGTCAGTCGGACGAATCAGTTGGTCGGAATCGACCTGCAGGGGCCCTTTCCACGATCCCACCGGGGCAACCGATATATTCTCGTAGCGGTGGAATACTTCACCCGCTACCCCGTGGCGGTGGCTATCCCAGATAAAACAGCCCTTGTAGTGGCCCGGGCCTTCGTGGAAAACTATGTACTTAAGTGCGGGATCCCCGAACGAGTCATTACCGACCAGGGTAGTGAATTCGAGGCCGAATTATTTCAGGCGCTGTGCCGAGAGTTCGGGATCCAGAAGGACCGAACCACGGCGTATCACCCCCAGGCGAACGGGATGGTAGAGAGGATGAACCAGACTCTGGCCGGGAAGCTTAAACGCATGGCGGCCGCGAATCAACAGGACTGGGACGAACACCTTCCCTATGCCCTGTTCGCCTACACCACCGCCGTTCACACCTCTACAGGACAGACCCCGTTCCTAATGATGTTTGGTCGCGAGTCTCGCCTGCCCGCAGATCTGCTGTTCGGTGTTCCTCCGCCGCAACGGGAGGAAGGGAGCCACCCCGTGGAGCACTTGCTGGAGACCCTGCGAGGGGCCAGGGGCCGAGCCTGCCCGCACGGAGAGGCCGCGCACCAGCGGCAAGAGCAGGGCGCCCGACCCCGTATGGAGCCCCCCTTCTACACTGCGGGCTCCGAGGTGTGGCTGTACACTCCCCGCGTCGGTGCCGGACAGGTGGGGAAGCTGACCACCTACTGGCGAGGACCCTGGATTGTGAGACGGCAGATCTCACCATGGACGGTGCTGATTCAGGGAGGAGAGAGGGGCCGGGAGATGGTGGTCAACATCCGCCGACTGAAGCCGTGGCGAGCAGCCCCCGAGGGGGGGAGCCCCGCCGTCCAAGTACCCCGAAACCCCGGGGTCCCCCCACCCCCCGTGCCCGGGGGCCTCGCGCAGTACATGGGCCCCACGGAGCCCCGGGCTCCGAGGGGCCCCGGGCGGGGCCGGGGGCGACGAGGACGGCGACCCTTAAACCCCACCGCCTCTGAGTTTGTTCCCCAGCCCGCAGGTGCCAGAGGCCGAGGGGAGCCGTTGGAATGGAGGAGGAGACCACCGCCGGAGCCCCAGGAGACGGAGCCGCCACCCCCGAGGCCAGCCACAAGGGCCGGGCGAATCCCGCGGACCCCGCGGCGATACCTCGTGGGGGCAACCCAGGCGAGGTGCTCCAGTCAACCCGGGACGGGGACTGGCACCCCGGGGGGCTATGTGGTGCCACAACGACGGGGCCGCTCTGCCGAACCAGGGAGCCGCCCGGCTTCCCCCACCGCACTGCCCCCCATCACCCGCCCCACATAAGCACACACCCGCACGCACCCCCCCCCCCCCATAGAGCTGGAAGGGAAGGTCACCTGATCGACCGGTTTTTATCCGAGAGACCCTTATCGGGATTAATTCTCACGGTTTCCGGCGATCAGGGAATTGGATGACCTCCCCGTGCTACGTGGCACCGCGGCGCTGCGGCCGGCCTTAATATGGTAGGTCGTGGCGTGGGGCATTCGGCCACCGCGGTTGAGGCGCATTTCCCCCCACACACACTCCCACGGGTCGACGGGGCGAGCAGGGGAGGCACGGGACAGCATGAATAGCGGGGTCACAGGGGCTGTTGCGCATAGTCATGGAGGGTTGGGATAATTGCGCTTGAGCGCGCAAGCCCCATTGGTAGGAAGGGTAAGGGAGTAATTAGGATTTACGCCTTGCACGCAGCACACTGATTAGCATATCAACAGCGCCTGGGGACTGCGGTGCGCGGGCTTGGGGTGCACGAGCCCATTGTTCAGCGCAGCATCCCCTTTGGGAGGTAGGGAGGATAAATAGAGGAGCGCAGAGGGGAAATCGCTCTCTTACTCCAGCGCCAGGCGACCAGACGCAGCTCGAGCCAGCGACCCGGACGTCCGTGCGACGCACCGAGGCACGCGGTTAACAGAAGGATCAGCGGACCGCCGTGGACACTTAACAGTGAGTAAGAAGGGGAATTAGAATCATAGCCGATAAATAGGGAATAGGTACAGGTTTAGTGGAATAGGCCAGCCTCGTCGACTCACTGATTCAACATCAATTCGCAGGTGGCATATAATAAATCATTAATAGCGAAGCGTGGTCTCGCGTGATCTTGTCGTGCAGTGTGAGCGTGTGGGTGCGCTGTGTGCACAGTGGTTCGCCACGGGAGTGAGCGCTGCGCGGAGCTGAGCGCGCGGGTTGCGTGTGGGAACGCGTGTGGTACTGTGTGTGCGTAAGCTCGCGGCGTGCGTAATCGGCGTACCCCAGGTGCGCGATTGTAACGTGAGCGGCCAGCGCGGCGCAGAGAAGCGCAAGAGTGAGTGCCGTACAGAGCTGTGTGTGTGGGTGTGCGCGTACGTAATTAACCATGCCTGCTACGCGGACCCGCGGTGGAGTGGAATCCTCGGGCGACGGCTCCCACCCCATGGGTGAGGAACTTAGCAGCGGTTCGCTTAGCAGCGGGGGGGCGATTGATGATGCTAGCCCGGCCGTTAGCATTATCGAGGGAGGGATCTCGGGGGCTAACGACCCCCACAGTTGGACTCGGCTGGCTGCATTTAATCGTTGAAAATGAGCTTCACTAAAGCGGATTTGTTTTGGTGGGTAGCTTGTCAGGACCCAACTATGCTACACTGGGCTACATTGGATCAGTAGGGGACACCCACCAGATGGGGTCGGCGTTGACGCCGTCGTCGAACCACAGCAGGTACAGGCAGATGGGTCCCACGATGCAGGCGTGGGCAGTGGACACCACCCTGCAACAGCACAGGCAGGTGGAAACAACTCTCAACCACAAGAACAACGACAAGCGGTGAAGGCAAGTGTCATTTCATGCCTCCAATCCAGCACAACTACGTGGAGAGAGAAAGTCGAAGACCATTCAGAGCGAAGATGGGTCATCTGTGGACGTCCGTGTGGCTGCAGGTAAACGGGGTGGACGCCACGAACGAAAGGTGTGGTTAGATGATGTGAAATAGTGCACTGGTGGGTCCAGCAGAAGTGATGGACATAGTGTAGAAGCGACCGGAGAAAGCCCACTCTGAAAGTGGCTACCAAAGCCTCCAGTTATCAAGATAACTGAGGGAAAAAAATTACAGTGAAGGCAAATATAGCAGTGCTTCGAGAGGCAAGGGTTGCTAGATCACACATATCAGTGAACGTTCCAAACCCACTGGGGTGTGAAGGTGGCCAGGAGATGGCAGTAAGCAGACATTCAGTTGCACGCACGACTGAATGTGTTCTTTGGTTTCCACCCATGCAACAAAAAAACGCCCTTTAATTTCACACATAGGCTTTCGCAACCAATGTGATGATTAATAATGAAAATTTTCGTCTGGATATGTCAATTAGAGCTTTGCAACTGCCACCACCCACCACAGCCGAACAAATCAAGTTGTCACCCGGACAAACGTGGCAATTGATTGTTTTTCAGAGAACCGGTTTGTTGAAAGTGCAATACAATTTTGAAAATTATACACGACGTTTAGCTGGATTACATCCAGCATCATCAGGTATTAACTACACAATCTAACCCGAGATAAAACAACTAATTTGAATCAGTTTACTCTTTAAAAAAATAATTGGCCAAACATACCAATTTAAGCACGATCCTCCTGCTCCGGCTTTCCGTCATAACCTATTACCATTGTTGCTATTACAATGACAACAACAAGAGGCAATGGACCCTGGCAATCTGTCAACTCATCGTCCGTCTGGTTATAAATAAAGGAAGTGCACGGGGCCGGTGACCAAACCCCGGTTTGTGCTCCACACCGCACCGCATCCAACGGACGTCATAAATGTTTAACCGGGCCGACCGTTAAGTGAATTGGCCACAGCAGCGAGGTCACTCAAGCCCTCGCCCGACCGCCTCAAGGGCAAAGAGGAGTATGGCCTGCACGAGGCCTGCACGAGGCAAGCTGCTTCTGGACGGCCCTTGTTTGCCTAGCGGCGGTTTGAGTCATTCTCTCCCTGTGCGCAGTTGTGGGTTTTCTCTGGGCACTTCCAAACAATGTCATTTTCACGCTAAACACCAATAAGAAGCAACATGTGTATGTAACGTAAATTCTAAAATATCCGAAATCATCGGGACGGGTCACCCGGATAAAGAAAAACATCGTTAATGCAAATCATGGAAAAGACTGTACAACGTATTTAATATTTTACCCATGTACACAGCGGGTGAAGGTGTGGAATGTGCGCCACCTTGTTTTATTGTTCCTAAAGTAATCGGTCATGAGTCAAGAGTGAAGAGCAGCTAATAATAGAAGCAGCATGGGCGTAAAAGGTGTGAATGAGCGTGGAATACTGTAACATTTTCGATTGCTATTTTCCTTTAATCATCAAGCATGGTTATTCCACAACCAGGATAGTCTGCCCACGGATAATGGAGATTTAACTACGTGTAACATATTTAAAATCAATGAAGTCCCTTTCTACATTTGGGAATTCTTCTACCTTTCTGGATGTCCTGATGAAACTGTGGATGTTTCTCCCTTATACTGCACTCCCACACTCAGCGGGTCCCAGGACTTCTCTCAACTCGATCGCCGCCGCTCAGTGAGACACCACTGGGACTTCATCCCCCACCCTGGCCATCTCAGAATCTAACCTCCTCTCGCTCTTCATGTTCAGGCACGAGACATTGTTTTTTCTCTTCTCCTCCAGATACAACCGACTTGGTTGTTCTTCTCGACCGATCACTCCACTGGCACAGAGCTGTCCATGGAAATGGTTACCTCCCCAAGCTGGTACGAGCAGGTAGACACTGACACTTTGGTCGTGTGCATAGCATCTCGAGATAAGGCTGTTACGACATACTGAGAGTGGTGGAGTTACGACACATGGTCAGCTGCTCACAAGGGGTCTTATGATTAACCTCACAGCCCACTCTCCCCAACCCCGGCGGTTCAATGAATTGTCCTGATTCAAGGTCATAATTCTATTCGAAGAATCGTAAAACTTATTTGTTTTTTTTACAATCGGGGTTAATGTAGAGGCCACTAGTGGATGCAGGGATAACACAAAAACATCACAACGTATAAGAATCGAATACATCGACCTTTACACAGGCACGTATCTTGAGCTTAAGAATAAGTGTCAATCAATTAATCATTATGCTCCTACTCTTCCCCCGCACCTCATTTCCACGGTCACTCCGATGAAAGCTTAACCCAGGCTAGGCTGGAACCAGGCTCTCCGTGTCCACGATGGATCATTTGGACCATCAATGGTCTAAAAGAGCTGCACAAGAATCCATGGCTTCGTGGTTAAGGTCAGCGCTCACTCTTTACGCCCGGACAAGTTCCAGAATCGGTGGAGAGTTAGCCAGGGCAGATAAGACACTCGTGCACTGACTGCACTTGCCTCGCTCAGCCATGCAGCACCGTTCCCTTCAATGCACACGGCGAGAAGTTAAATGTGCAGATTTAAACAGAATGTTGCCTAAATTACCTTAGATGAAGATGCAAACCACATAACTTATTTGTGTTCTCTCATTTATTTCGTTATCAGGGGTAGAGTGATGGCATAGTGGTTTGCACATTCAATAATAAACTCCCCCAGCACTCAGTAATGTGTAACCACTAAACTGCAGTACATGTACGTTTTTGAAAGAAGAAAGCTCTTCCTCACTGACCAAATTTCTTGGGTTTCAAGACCATTTTTGTAGAGTAGTATAATGTAACAGGGCAGTTCAAATGTACGGCTCTAGTTTATGCCTACCGCATATGATCATGAAAGATTGTACAGTATTTAGTCGGAACTATTCATGACTTCAAATCTAACATTGCATTTCAACTCGAGAAAATATATTTTAGTCACATGGTGTCAACATTTCTGGGTAAGACCAGGCTGCAATGGGCGGGGCATGTGTTGAGGATGGAGGAGGGCAGGTTATCGAGACTGGCATTGGTGTGGCACCCAGAGGCCGGTGAAAAAAGGGGAAGACCTAAAGGTGGTGGTAATGAGACTAATAAAGTACACTAATGAACACGTCAATTAAAAACCAAGGGGAAAAGCTGAATTGAGACAGTGGTGATGAAGTGAGGAGAGAGTCACTGTTCGGCTCTGCTGCGGCCCTGGCGCCAGGTAATATGGATCGCGGACGGGACGTGGGAGCCCTCACCTCGAGTGCCACTCGATCTGCGCCTGCCTCGACATCTTGGCGACGTCGACGCAGAAGGGGCGACTCAGCAGGGCGCTGCCCCAGTGGAAGAGCACCTGGAAGAGCACGAAGCTCGCAGCTGCGATGAAGCAGCTCACGGCCGTCTGGCCCTCCGACACGCGACTCACAATGCCGGACATCTTCCCTCTTCCCCTCTCTCTTGTTCGCTGTGATGCTCTCACTCCGAAGCTCTCCCCCACACTCTCCTTACAATGCTGACGTCCTGTTCCCTGCAAAATGAGACAACAAAGCAGAAGAAAATGTGGAGATCTGTGAAGCAATACATTATAATACTAAATCAATTACAGACCTTTGTAAATTCACTGCTGGTTGAAGGCCTCCAATTGCTGTCTCCGTTATGGTAGATGAAGCAGGGTGGTCAGAACTTCTCCAAATATAACCCTCCACTCATAAATCAGAGCAGTGTGCTAACCACTGTGAAATATTTATCCAGGAAAGCCTTATAAAGGTTTTTCAGAAAGATTCTGCATTCGGATGTTTGGCCAATTCCTTTTTCACGAGTAGTTTGCGTGTGGGAGTAAACGGGAGTGCCCAAAGAAAACCCGTGCACACGAGGGCACTGTATTGTGCAATGGTGCACACAAACGGGTCTACGAACTCATTCACATTGATGCCATCTCCTGGCCACCTGACAGTCCAGCGGGCTGGCGGTTTCACAAATCGATCTGACCCACCGACCCCTGCCTCAAGAGCTCTGGATTGGGGATGTGTGACCATGCCTTACATTGCTGGGTTATCTCGGGTCCCCCCCCCCCCATTTCCACGGTATGGTGAAATATCAACAAAGGATTGGCCAAACGACCCAAGCAGAACCCTCCTCTGTGCTTGGTTAAGCAAATTTGAAAACAAATATTGCAAGTTTGCCGTTTCAAGCAAGCATGAGCAGCACTCGTCTGCACGGCCAGGCCTGAACCAGTGGCAGGAACAGGAAGATACAATGGGCAACCATTGTTGACTCCCACATTTTAGTGGTGCTCATTTTATAGACCAGGAAGTAACAACAGTGATGATGGATTTCTGAATGGAATCATGGTAGCGATATGACAATAGATTAAAAAGATTAGCATCCCATTATGTACATGAATTTATATAGAATGTAAGAATCACTTTGGTTCAAGATTACATTCTTGTCTATCTTTTCTTGGAATGTTTTCCTGATTGGTGTTTATTTGTTTGTTTTGTTTACGCCATCAGCTACAATGTATCGTTATCAGATGATCGATTCTTACATACACTATTGAACGAAAGCATCACGAGCATAATGATTAATTTTAAGCGCAATTCCGTATATCAAACCCCATTTTCCCCATTGACTTTCATTATATGACTGGAGATACATTCCTATGGAGAAAACAAATTCAGCCCCAAGAAATAAGGACGTTGATCAACCAAGATTCAACCAGGTGAAGTGATAACTGTTGTGCTGGCCGACTCTCTGAGTTGCATAACATTTCTAAGTTTGCCAAGTTTGATATTTTTTCTATCACCTTGTTCCCTCTGTAGGTTTCACCCCCACCCTCTCGCCCGTTACGGCAGCCCCTCCCCTCCCTCCCCTCCTCGGATTAGCCAGGTATGCGAGCTTTGCGATCTTACATTTACTTGCAAATTCCATCCCTAGCCCTGCCCACTTACCCTTGGGTTATACCCATCACAAACGTCTATAACCTTTGGTTGCAGTCGCTCTCTCGCTACATATCTTCCTGCCTCAGCAGTCCGCCTGCTGTATTGTTTCACCTGAAGACGATTGCTTGTGTTGCGATCGAAACGTCGTGATCTATTAGTTATTTTTCTATCTACGTGACTTTACCGAAAGAACCAAAGAGTATGAATTCCTGCAGTCACGAAAGCTTCAAATCACTACAATTTGATGATAGGATATTAATAACAATAATTCTCAAAATAAGTCTATTAAGTTAGAGATTCTAAATTCCGTAAACGCCAATTTAGCGTAACGTATGTCGACTTCATTCCTTAATATCTAATTTACGTTACATTTAAATTCCGTAAATTTAGTTTCCGTAGATCAAGGAATAACTGTACTTTGACTTTTCTTAATTTAATGTTTGTATTGTTATTTTTATATTTGCTTTCGTGGTTCCCAAGGTCGGCAAGGGGCGTTACAAAAGCAGCTGAGAATAGCTCTCCAAAGGCAAGGGGGACGCCCTCGCCACCGGTGGTGGTGGTCACGTTACACCGCCTGACTCTGCGCCAGGCCTCCAGGCTAAAGTTTATTGACGTGAAACTCAATCTCGGCCGAGCCACACACCACAGCAAGCCTGGGACACCACGATCCTTAGCTTTAAAAAGGAATGAGGCGGCCACAATGGAAGTTGATTCTGATCGCCGGAGCCAAAACCTCCGATTGGCACGGTTGGCTACGTACAGTGTGAAAAAAGTTAAACATACAAACAGAACTACTCCGATACCTTGCATTCAAGTCATAGGTCTGCGTGTCTCTCTCAGGGGGACAGGTCAGAGGCACAGAGCTAGCACTGCCGAGATCTTGCGTTCCAGTCCTGGGACTGGTCGTCTTTCTCAGTGGGTACATAAATAGTTGGGTCAGAGGCACCGCCGACATCCTGGGTTCAAGTCCTCAGTCTGGGTGTGTTTTTCTCAGTGGGTTCATAACAGCTGCCCGATAGAGGCACCGAGACAACACCACCAGCAAAATCCTGGGTTTCAGCCCTGTAAATGGGTTATTTTATCTCATCAGAATTGATATGTTCAAGCCAGCGCCAATGAAATTGGGAGTTCGAGCCCTGGGTGCATTTTTTTTATAATCAGTGGGTGAATAATGGTAATTTCAGGCCTGAGCCTGCAAAGATGAGAACCTGATTTCGAGTCTTAGCGCTGGGCATCTTCTCTGTGCCCGGACACACGTGTGCCCATGGGTAAACACGTGCTGCTATACATATGGCGTGCCTCTTTTATAAGGACATTACAAAGATGGTATTAGTTTTTGAACTATGCTAATACAGTGGCTGTATTGGCCGATTCAACTGGTGAATGTATTTAATTAACTGTAAAAGATTTGTAGAGGAGAAATGGTTCAGTGTGAGCTTAGCTTTGCAGTTCAAGAAAAACAACCCTAAAAGCAATCTCTTTGGCAGCTCTTAACCGAGGCTTCTGTCCCATGCGAGGAAAACAATTATTTTGGAGCTTCATTACATTACCCCGGTGACATCACCAAATCACTCTCATTCATCCCAATGTCACTAAACTGATATTATGGCATACATGACTAGCCTTAAAAGTAATTTTCTACAAATATTTAAATTTTTGGTGAGGACAGCCAGGGGACATGGTACACAGGTGTATAGCTACTACAGAATAACTGTTTCTTGCTTTCTTCATTCCTTTAAGCCAATTTTCTCAACCCACAAGGTTCAGGTTTTCTGTGATTACCAACAATTTAGGGTTAATTTGAAGACTTTATTTTCAAATAACTTTTGAAATAAAATGAAGTGGACAAACGAGGGTAGACTCGAGCACATACTGTCTTTACCGTATTTGTTTTTGAACATTACATATGGTCTGCAATCAGTTCCTTACCGAGTGATCATCTAAAATACCCCTCTCTGCTCTGATACCACGAGGTGTACCATATTGGAGGCATGGTATAAATATTCCATGACGATGAACCATCGGGTGCATGCCGTGCACAGTCACTTGATTTGCATATGCACAGAAAATGTTGGTAATCACGAAGAAGGCAGAGACCGCGGTTAGGTGATGAGGGCTGGAGTTGGGAGACTGCTCTCATTCATAATCAACGTTTTTGGGTTTAGATCGCGTTATTTATAAATGTGTCGTAACCCTCCACCACCCGACACGGCCAATCAGTAAAAAAGTGTCACGTTGACAAAAGACAAATAGTTCACTGCTTTAGCCCACCGGTGTGTTGAAGCGTGAAACCACAACATTTATAATTTGAGTACGACGTTTCGCTGGTAATTGCATCCAGCATCATCGGGCAATTCGCCAGCGAAACGTCGTACTCAAATTGTAAATGTTGTCGTTTAACGCTTCAACACACCGTAGGGCTAAAGCAGTTAACTATTTGTCTTTTGTCAACGTGACACTTTTTTACTGATTGGCCGTGTCGGGTGGTGGAGGGTTACGACACATTTATAAATAACGCGATCTAAACCCAAAAACGTTGATTATGAATAATATTGATCGCGAAAGCCTCCGTGTTAAACAGACTGCTCTCAGCCTGCTCTAAGCTGGCTGGTTGCCTGAAATTCCCATGCACATAAAGAGGAAATCACGGATTTTACAGACGTCTCAAGTCTCACACGATCAGAGTGCATCTCACGCTCTCACAGTGGCACTGCCAATTCTTACGTAATGTGAGAATCTGCACTCACCCTGCGATCACATCCTCCTCCACCCTTCGACCAACTCGCTCCTCCAGTCACTGATTAAGCTCACGCCACCAGCTGGATAATCTCACGTATCACCAATCCTAATCTATAAAACTTGCGAGTTCTGCTCGTAACCGACCCATCTGTGTTGCCAGTGATGGGATCTCGATATAATCGCCGATTGTTAAGAGTCGATTTCTTTACATCACAGACAAACATCTTCTACACGCGTGCCAGCCATTCACAAATCCAACTATTCACACACCGTTGCTCTCGGATTTTCAGATTATACCACGTGTTGTTTGGCATGGTGGCCAAATAACCCACAGTACAACCTGAAAACGCACCTCCCAGGGCTGTACAGCACAACTGCAAAACCATACACAGTAGTGTATCCACGATATTTTACCACTGTGGTGTAATATGTGGGGTCACGAGTAATTACGCCAACGGATGTGATGTGTCCACCAACACGTCCACTGCGGGGACAGTGATGAAATCAGCTCATGTGCACATTTCAAGTTTAATTTGTTTAAACAAGTGAGCAAGACTTCAAGAGACCAGGAGAGCATTTGCAGAAGTGACCTTAGTTGACTTTTAAGCATGTGCTAGGTTGATTATTACTCGGGTTGTTTTTGTTAAACCGTGAACGGCATAACAACTTAAAAACAGTATCCAGTGTGCCGATATATAAACAGGTTAACTTTTTAAACTGAGAAATGCAGGCAGCTACCCTTGTGTAATGGTTACCGCACTAAACTTCACCGGTTCAACTGCATCTCCTTGCGTGGCAGTGGAAACAATGGGGCAGAATTTCTTAAATCTCACCTCCCACCCCCTGC